TTATAATTATATATGGAGGTTAGAAACTTTGAGTTTATAATGCAGAATTTGTTGAGACCACAAATGGTTATCTAATCAATTCTGCTCTGAGGAAACATTACCTCCAAAATCTACCAACATCTATATAGGTGTATGTTTTATTAGTGAACATAACGAAAGTGAGACTCTTAAGATAGGTGAGGGCAGGTTTGGGGCTTTGGAAGGTTTGAATAACAATTCATAAGGTTTAGATGTTATATAGAAGCTGCTTATTCATTATTCTTCTTCTAACCTCTAGTAGTTATTCCTACTAATTAGATATCTAGTAGGTAATTGAGGTAATATTTTCCTTTTCCTTTTCCTAGAGATTTATCTTGCAATAAAATAAAGTTTATTGAACGCGGTACATTTGAATCACTACCTTTTCTGGAGTTTGTGTAAGTTACAATTATAACTTCATTATGTTGGGAACTTTTATAAAATTATAAATATGATTATAAAAAATTAATTTGCTACTGATTTGGAAACATTAAAAATTTAGTTTAGAAATCTACTAGAATTATGTAGCTAATCCTTTTTGTCTCTCGCAAAGATTTGCACTCAGATGACATTTGGCAATGTCTGGACACATTTTTGGTTATCAGAACTGTAGGTATGCTGCTGCCATCTGGTGGACAGAGGCCAGAGATGCTGCTAAACCCCCTACAGGGTGCTAGACAGCCCCCCACAACAAAGAGTTGTCCGGCCCAAAATGTCAGTAGTACTGCCCTTTGCTAGAGAAGAAAGGATCACTTATCGCAAATATTTATTGAGGATTTACCATTTTGTATCTCATGCACCATGCATATAATCATGAAACTATAACTCACAAGCAACTATTTTCCACACTGAGATTTCTTTAGTGTATTGAAAGGATAATGAGATCATGTTTCATTGCATATAAATTAGAATTACTGCCAAAGGATAAAGTTCTGATAGAATTTTTTTTCTTCTTCTTTGGCTTGTGTCTTTTTTTTTTTTCTTTTTTGTAGCAATCTTGGTTGTAATTTAATAGTAGATCTGAGCTTTGGAACGTTCCAGGCCTGGCATGGAATGCAGTTTTTACAGATGATGTAAGTGAAATAGATGAATACATGTAAAAAACTATGTTTTGGTTATTGGTAATTGGTTATCTGGGTGTAAGCTCACTGTGGATTCCAGAAAATATGTCTTGAAATCCATTCTTTTTTTTTCTTTTTTTTTTAATGAGAAAACTAAGGTACAAAGAGGCCATGAGACTTGTCTAACTCATACATGGAACACTTTGCTTTCCCTAGTACTGATGTTTGGCACGAGCAATAAAATAAAAGGCACCCAACAGAAACACTCAAATTAGCATTGTCACGGAATCCCATTGTTGTTGCTCCAATATGCAAATAGTACTTGAAATTACACTTTTGAATTTAATTCCTGCTCATGTGCAAAATTCCTAACTACTTAAAATTTATGCAGCACAGAGCTGCAAAGAACTCAGTTTAGCCCAAAATTCTTCAGGGAGCAACAGGCATGGGTGCCTTCTCAAGTATCAGCTTCTTTTAAATGGTAAAGCGGAAAGAATTCCTGAACACCCACCTCTCTTCCCAACTACCCAAAACATTATTTTTCAAAAAGTCTATATTAGTCTGAGGTGAATGATCTGTGGCCAATAGGAACCTTTGAGGGATGGATGTTTGTGTTAAGCTGTAATGTGAACAATATAAAGAAGATACCTTGCTATAGCTGAATTCTCTATACTTTCTTTTCTGACTACTTCTAATAAGAAGCGTGGGTTTTTCAGAACCTTGAAAATTCTGTGATTTCTCCATGTCACAAGCAGATGACAGCAGGTAGGTTCAGTGGCCTGAAGGGGATTTTAGACTCAAGGTGAAGAGCCTCCTCTAAATCAGGCTTTGGAAAAGAG